GTGACTGAAGACCTAGCAGGATCACTAAGATGCGGATCGCCTGGAATTACACTTTGCGGTTGCAGCTCATACTGTGGCGGTCTTATTGTTCCAAACGGGGAAGAACGTCCGGAGAGACCTAGTGGGTGGGTGACTGTAGACAGGCCACTACCACTAAGATAAGAAGCGTCTGGAAATGTATGGTGCGGTTGCACTTCATGCAGTGACGGACTAGGCGTTTCATACGAGGCACGCAATCCTGGGATTTGTGGTTGGAGGGTGTCGGTTGATAAACCATAACCAGTAAGATTCGGAACATCTGCAATCGTACTTTGGTGTTGCAATCCATGGAGTGGTGGAATTGGCGCTTCTTGGATTCTTAGCGGGTGAGTGACTGTAGACACACCCAAACCGCTAAGATTAAACGCCGATGGAATTGTAGTTTGTGGTTGTAATCCATGCAGTGGTCTTCTCAGCATTTCATAAGGGGAACAAAATTCCTGCTTTTTAGGCGGATGTGTGAAGGTAGACATACCAGAACCACCAGGATACGCTTCGCTACCCAAGGACCTTCCAGGGGTAAAGATGGTGGATGGGGCGCTGTGATGGTGGGTGCTGAACAGTGATGTGTCTTCACTGAATCCATGCGCCACAGAAATAGGAACTTCCGCTAAAGAGGACAACAGAAGGAATTAGAATTCCACAAGTAACATGATGATACAGCGAAAGCCACTAAGTCATAAACTAGATTTCGTCCTTTTCCAATGTTACAAACCCTCTTTTCACGATGCAATATTACATACTTTGCCGAAACAAAACATGAGGAAATAAACAATTGGAAAAGTAATGATTACTGACGAGAAAAAAGGTGCCATTTTACGCCTTTTTATTTTAATAAGGCTTTCTGTAATACGACTGAATTCGCGGGCGGGCAAAATAAACCGAATCCTATCCTGGCTAGCTCGTGATTTCCCGCGGTTGTCCCGCTAGAAGAAATAATCTCTTTTGACCATGAAATAACCCTTCCTCTCTCGTCTGGGTCAATAAAAACGCAAACTTTTGGCAGTAAGAAAGCCTTGGAAGGCAAAAAACGCGAACTGGGATTTGCCTATTTTTCGACAGGGAAAATAAGAACTTCAAGCGCCGGAAGTCCTTAAACATTGTCATATTAGTGCTTAAATCTTTCACGGCGTTTATTCATTTGTAGAATTTTGTTGTAGTTTTGACAGGAGTAGACAAAAAAAGGAAGCCTTACCAGCACGATAGTGAGCCAATGGAATTGGTCTTACGGTTTCTTGACCATAAACAGGGAGCGGTGAATCGTGAGTACTGGGGCGAGTGTTCCTCTGCAACGCTGCCGCAGTCTGTGGATTTGAGAGGAGACAAGAAAGAAAACAGGCTGATAACCTCATACGATTGTCAAGCAATAACTGTTTCCTTCAAACGTAAAATGTACAAAAAAGCGTGACGTTTTGATTGCCATTCTCGTGACGTCGCCGTCGTCGTTGCTTTTTAAAAGCTCCCTATTTATCCGGGCGCTAAGGATGAAGACAAAGTCGAGGGCCAAGCCCTAGAAGGAGCACCAAGCCCGGGACTGAGTGTGGAGCACTTTCCGCTCGGCCGTGACTCCTCTTTTGTGAACTGCTAAATAGGGCCTTGTTCAAATCAACCCTCAATATTATTTTACGCTTTTTTTTTCAGCGAATCTCCGGCGTCGTGTGTTTTTCCTATATTACAACAACTGTTCTACATGGGTTAAGTGAGTAGTCAAAATTTAACTATTCTCACTGCCTACATAATTATCCCGTAACGCGGGAAATAAGAAACTCCTTTAATTTCCGTCATGCCGAGTTTGCCCGCTAGTGGCATGATGCAACGATGCCTTCTCTTTGCATTTTCCCGCCTCCTGGCGAGTTCAACTGATTGCAGTGAAAGTGACGTTGAAGTTCCCCCCCCCCCTTCCCTGGTGGCGGTTGACGTCACAAACCCTCATTACTCGGCATGCCTAGTGTCGTAGCATTCGCAGTTTCGTCCCATAACTTAGTTTCCCGTGATAGGAAAATAGGTATGCAGTGCGTCTATTATATTATGCTAGACTACTGAATCAGATGTAGAAGGATTTAATCATGATTTTCACAAAATTACTTCCGGTTGCCATGGTAGAGTCCGCTGTAGCCTTTTGCTTTAATATCTTCCCTTGAAAATTTTCAGCCCCGTTCAGCCGCTTTTTTTTTCTCCCCAGTCCCCAACTCGGCTTGCTTTCCTCGTCGATTTTTTGTGCTCCATTCTATTCGCCCCTTTCCCCAACCATGGAGCCTGGTGCCAGGTTATCACAAGGGGAATGATATTGAAGATGAATACTGTCTCACAAATCTCCGAATAAATCTTGCAGAACAGCGAAGGAATTAAAGTTCAACCTATCAACAACTTTCTTACCTAGCAGGCGTCTCAGTAAAGACAAATCCTAACTACTGTTTAATAATATAACATTTAAGAAAGGCTCTCCGAATCCAGATCCATTACCTCATTAACGGACAAACATTCCAAATGGGACTCGCCCTGTGTAACTGTAGACAGACCAGATCCACTGAGGTAGGGATATCTCCAGGACCCTCCAGGTGTAAAGATGGTGGACGGGGTGTTGTGATGATGGGTGTGGGTATCATGGGAGGAGTGATGCTGTGAATCAAAATGAGGAGGGAGGTACCCACTGAAGGATGTCTGACCGTGGCTGGACCCATGCTCTGCAGGAGTAAGAGCTCCCGCTAAAACTAAACCGGCTGTTGAGACAAATGAGTAGAAATTAGAATCCCACAAGTAACATTCCCGCTCCTGATGAGTTCATCAATCATGAATGAAATCACTTTTGACTGCAATAGACTCGTGTAAAACGTAGTATTGGTGCTGCGAACTCTTCGAAAAAGCCAATCAAAAAGAAGGAAAGTCGAAACCTTACCAGCAGGATCGGGAGACACTGAGAATGTTCCTACGGTTTCGGGATCGTGAGCCAAGAATGGTGAGCCGTGAACACTGGGGTGAGTCTCTTCTAGAATCTGTGCAAGTGATAGAAGAGAACAAGAGGTGATGAAGCAGAACTGACAAGATGGTCGAGTCTCAGAATATCTCAGCTGCGCATTGTGTTTTAAACTTAATAAACAAATCTCCCGACCGTTTAAAAAATGTGACTTAAAAGACAAAAAAGACAAAACACAATCAATGAAAGTAACAAATTGTGCCTGACGTCGCTAACTGACCTCCACATCATTACGTCAGATTCAGCTGATAAATCATCCTGCCACGAAACAACAGACAACATTAAAACACCTCTCATAAGAAAAAATTACTTTGAAGATCAAAGAAGACATTTAAAAACATAGAAAAGATGCAAAAGAGGTTTTGAGGTTAATAAAGCAAGTTTTTACGCCTTTGCTATCCTTCGTTAATTACATGATTAAATATGATGAATCAAAAGTGTGTTTTCTTCTTTGTTAAGACATAGCAAAAGACTGACACCCGCTACACTGACGAGCAAAACGACGATGCCGCTTAATTTGAAAGCTAAATCACACGTCCAATGATCAAGGAAAGCCGGGTTTTACTTGAATATGTCCGATCAACAGAAGAACAGATTTGCACGTGCAATCAATGAAGTTTTTAGTATAACCTTTTCAAAGCAAATCACACAGGTAAACAGAAATGGACTTTTTAAAAAACCACTGGCAAAACTATGGCTCTTTTGACCATGAGTCTATGACCCACCTGCTCCTGTTCGTCCTCTAATTCAGATGATGAATCAGGAAATAGTTCCGGGTAAAAACATTGCCAATAGTCCTCCGATGGCCACTCATCTTCAGGGAGGGGTTCACCATTTTCTGTCTGCAACCAACAATTAATGTAAGATTTGACGTTGTACTTATGGTTTAATTTCATTGAAACGTGAACAAGGGAGGTAAACAAAAGAAACGTGATAACTTCACTTTCAATAAGTTCAGACTGCGTGAGTGCAACGCATGTACAGCATGAAAAGGCTAATACATTCAAATCTCTATCACGCAGCCCTGTGTTAAGCGGCGCACTCTGTAAAGTGGAAACTTATCAAATTGCCAGAATTTGCTTCCCATATTTACTGAAATGTGACCTCTACTGAGCTAGCCTATGGACAGCCGCCCCCTCCCGTAGAAAAAAATCGGAGAAGGGGGCGATTTTTCTGAGGGGAGAGAGCAGCTATACACAGGCTATACTGAGCGGATCAGTAACCCTCCTAGACTTCCCAATGGGCTAAATTTGCTGTATTTCACCTCTATTAAACGGTCACCTAATTGGATAACATGCGATATTTAATATGGGGAACAAAATATGCCCTGGCTGCCTTTATATTCACTGTAAATTCTAAGTGTTTATTTTGGTCTTTTCTTTTCATATCAGTTATCCGAAGAAAATACGTCTAAAACAAATAATCAACGTAGACTCCCAAACTTTTAAAAAGGGGACAGACAGCTAATCAATCGTTGACTTTCAATTTCCTCTACCAATCTAATATTTCTGACTTTTTTTGCACCCATGTTTAGGGTTACCCTGAGTGCCAGAGGTTCCTTTTTTCCTATTGTTTGCGGCGAAAATTGAGCGGCGAAGCCGTGATCGTCACGATGGCTACTTCGCCACTCAATTTTCGCCGCAAACAACAGGAAAAAACAACCCTCTGGCACCTAGGGTACTTTAGGGTCAGAGGCACCGACCAAAAAATACAAAAATGCAGGAAGATGGGAACGCTGGCGCTTTGCGCAAACAAAAGGCGGGAAAATGCTACCACGTGGCATATCGTGATTGACAGGAACATTTCATGTGTTTAAATTTAACCAATCAGCTGTTACCACGTCACAAGCCTTCTCTCACGCCACTTTGAATGACAGTTTGTTGATTTTGTAGTTTGTTGTTCACTTTAGTTGAAGTTGTTCTTCAACGAAAAAATTCAACGGAAAAATGCTCAACATGGACTAAAAAGAATTAGAAAACAACGTAAAACGTCAGTGAGAGAAAGATTCGGCTTATTTACTCTGGAATTTGCAGAATTTGTCAAAGGATTTGTGGAGGCTACCAGGAAAAAAACGTATTAATTGAAGACACAAAGCATTTGCAAAGGATTTGCTAACGCCATAGTGTTTGTCGTCAAGCTGGAAAAACATGTCGCCGACAAAATTTGACAGTTTATACCATAGTGGAGTGCAATTACCTACGTTAAAATGTATGGCGTTAAAGTTGAACAAAAGTGTCTCTGAGGAATTCTCTGTTTTGTGGAAAGTTATCTAAAAAAACCTACGCTACTGAGCGATCGAGGTCATTTATGAAAGGACACGCAAAGAACACTCAAAGAAAAAACACCTCTGAAAACACTTCTTCGTTTTCTGGACTCTCAAACAAACTTTTCTTGAGTTTGACTGATTTTAGGAAATCTTAGCGATAAAAGTGAAACTGTAAGTTAACCTTTCTTTCTCTTACTTTGCAAATTATTTGTTTGAATTGAACATGAACTGAACATATTTTGACTTTATGCTTGTTGTTCATCATTTTATCAAAAGTAATGAATTAAAATTGATTCTGAAATTTATAATATTGTGGAATGTTTGTGTTCTGTTATGTTGCACAGTGTTTGTTATAAGTGAACTCACATCGAGTTGAGCCAGACTCTAAGAGAAATTTCATATCTACTCGCTGATCCATTATTTTGCACAGTGCAGACACCTTCAGATTAATTTACTTGTTCTCGGTTAAAACATTGTTTTGAATTTAGTTTAATCAATTGAAAGGAATGAATTTAAAACGATACTTTGAATCTGCTAAAGTTTGTGATTTGTTTTCAAAAGTAAATCTCGTGTTTTGTCGAGTATAAAAATGACAAAGAAAGGAAAATGGCGAAAGGCAAGAGCTGAGTAGAAATAAACTGTAAACAAAGAATAAAGAAACAAATTGTGATAAAATTGGAAAACTTACGTGGTAGTCTGACCACAGATCAGTGATGTTGCTGTGCTGCTTGATGGCTGATGTGAGATCTTTCACCTGCTGTGGAGTCATCTTCACATTTATAAGCTCCAGTGTCTTCAGGTGAGGAGCGCAGCTGAGATTATTAATCAAGCTGTCTACTCCTGCACCCAGAAGAGGATTGCTTGGCATGACGAGCCACTCCAAGTTTGGAGCTTTTTCAAATAAACTGTCGATGAACTCCACAGCAGGTGATGATGTTACATTGATTTGAGCGAGTGTTAATTCCTTCAGTTTGTGTGTTATTGGGATGCTCCTCAGTAGAGACTCTGTTACCTCAGCATCAAACACTTCACCGTCTTCACCCCAAACATCTATCTCGTGTGGAGCGGTGATGAACGGCATGATCTCAATCAGCTGTTTGACTTCTAACCTGTTCACATTCCTCTCAGCTACAATCCTCCGAATCCTGGAGAGACCATGACGCTTTGAACAACAGCTGCTGCTGCTCTTTTCACTTGACTCATCACCATTCATGTTTGTCTTCTTTGTTGTTGTCTCTTGTTTACTTATTAACGCCTTAATTATATCAGAGATAGGATATAACATGCCTCCATAAAAAGATCTACAAATTTGTGTAAAATACAGGTGAGTGTTGTTTTCTTCTTTCTTTAGGAAAAAGTCATAAACTTTACGCCATGTAAAGTTGCTTAAAAATTCTGATGCTTTCTTTTCTCCCGCACAACTAACAATGAAAGCCTTTAATTGTTCAGATAAAATTATCAAGTTTTTATAGTCTTGCTCTGTATACTTGTCATCAGTGAAAAAAACATAATTTACGTTTACGGTAGTTTCAACTAACTTTTCTTTCACAAGATCATTTAGCTGGTCTGCTTCAATTAAAAGAACTCCTCTGAAAGAGGAAAGAAATGTAGGAAAGAGGTTTCTTTTTGTCTCAGCTGAACAGTAGAAAAACAACTGTGTGGAGAGTGTCAGAAAATTTCTTTGGTCTTCTGAAAAATCCTTCGCTGACGGTGCTTCGCTGTCGAAGGTGTACTTCGTGAGTCCTTCTTCGTTCGCCGCCATTTTGATCAGATGATTCACAATCTCGCGCGCGGCTTCTTCTGACAGCTCACCAGCAAATTTTAACACTTCATTCATTTTGAGGATCTTTTCAACCGAGTGCAGCTTTGACAGGAAATTTGTAATGTCATTCTTTTTAGATAATATCAGCTCTTCTTTCAGGAAACTTCCCGCGAAGTATTCTTGTACGGATTTATGAATGAAATACACACCTTTTTCAGGATTCAAACTTGACATATTTAAAACTTGAAAAAGGCCGACTTCAATCAACCTCTCGATCAGATCGTAGTTAGGTAATTCACTTCTCGGGATATACAGGCAATCGTTGATGAGAGCTTCAAAGGCCGAGCGCCCTAATGCATATAATTCTTCTGAGTAATCCTCAATGCTAAACACCGATTCAGCAGACTGTTTTTCACGCATGTGATGAAACAAAGTCTTCACGAACTGATTGAAGATTTCTACGCGTTTCTTAGGTAGTTCTTTGCTATCTTTTTCTTTCCAGAGTAGACACAAAAGCAGCAGAAGAAGTGGAATCTCGGCCAAGTCTTTAAGGTCTTGTTTCCTCAAGTAGGTACGGAACTGTCGAACATCATCTTCATCTTTCAAAAATCTTCGAGCAAACTCTTCCTGGCGCTCATCATCAAACCCGTTAATCTCAAACTGGGCATCACTAGGCAATCTCAGCTTGTCAGTTGTCATTTGTCTCGAGGTAACTATAACACAGCAGTCACTCAGTTGATTTCTCTCCCAAATTTCATCAACAGGCGATTGCTCCCCTGCACTGTACTCATCGTAGCCATCCAAGATAAGCAAGACCTTTTCTTGATGATTTAGAACGTAGTCGTACAGATCATCAACAGAAATTTTGCCATCATTGGCGAGCAGCTGAGAAGCCTTAAAAATAGATGGAACATCATGGAGATTACAGACATCACGTAATCTTATCAAAAGGACAAGTTCAAAGGCTCCTGTCGTTTCTTGATATCTCTGTTGGGACCAGTCAAAAGCGGCTTTCTTGGTAAAAACAGTCTTACCAATACCTGGATAACAACAAATGAACAACAATAAGAGAAACAATGTCTGATTCAAGTACTTCTAAGATAAAAAACATTAATAGACACAATCACTTCTGAAACAAGAGCTTTGAGCCTGAAAATCATTGAAAATACAGTTTAAAAGATGATCATTAGCGCTAACCAAATACTAGCTTTTTAAAAATATCTCAATCATGAAACAGTACCTGACAAACATAAGAACTGGAATTTGTCTATTTTCAGACCGCGAAAAATGGTATGAGTGCCATTGTATGTAGATATTTTTAAACTCTACGAAATGATATTCTTGCCCATGGGAATTTGAACAGGGGCACCCATACGACCGAATGTTTCAAAATGGGTGAGAACTGAATCAAATGGTTTTCTCCATGCTTGAGAACAATGGTTGATTAAATAATCTGTTCAGATGTCTTAGGTAAACTTACCCTGCGAGCAGAGGCTACATTTCCACGGTATGAGCTGAATGTAGCCTCTGCTAGCAGGGTAAGGTAAACTTTGGTCGTCACGAAAATTTTAGGTGGCTTTTTCGCCTCATCCAAAACTGTTAGCTACCCTGATGGGCCTCGTCGAAAGTTTGAGGACAATTGCCATACGTTCATAGAAATATAGAAATTTTCAGGAAACCTTTATTGAACGGTAAGCGCGATATCTTGGGGGAAAAAAGTAAAAAAGACGACCCCCGAAAGTTGGTTAGTAATAAGTAGAAAACTCAGAATATCTTAGACGTCGTTTATACCCTTCCAACAGCTTTAAAACGGGACATTTCTAGGCAATATTGGCTTCTTCGATCAGTTATTTTACTTAAAAAAAGTTGTTGGGTGTCCCTGATTTTTAATTTAAGGCCAGCTTTTCATGGGGCACTCAGGAACCTGCACAAATTTGACACCCCTCTGTAAAGACCCAGTGAAACCCTACCCAGTGGTTTAATCCAGTCTACCAAGTGATAATTTAGCCTCCCCGATACCCGGCAAATAGTTTGTTTCTACCCGGCTGACTTTTTGCTTCCCCAATCCCTTTCTATCACGACTTCTTCAAGACCAGTGTATTTCGTTGCTCATATTTGTTTAAAAGAAGCAAAGATATAAAACATTATTACCATTGACAAAAAAAAAAAGGAAGGGTACAAGTAGTCAGTCTCGCATAAAAAACTGTAAATCGTTTACATAAAGTGTTCAAAGTTTTCATGCCTGTAAAACTGTAAGGACTGCCACCCCTTCCCGCTTTTATGGGAAATACACAACTAAGATGAAAAACCCAGTGGAAAATAAACCAATTAACCCAGTGACTTTTTCTCCGAGAACCCACTGAAGATATAGAATCCACTGGGTATGTTACAGAGGGGTGTAATTTGGGCTACAACAGTAAAATACACTCAACTGAAGAAGGATTATGAGGCTAGGATTGTTAGACAAGAATCGTTTAAAATATCCCGGGGGAGGGGGGTACTCCCTATGAAGGCCTATACTCTGCCCGAAAGGGGTATCTTTTTCAGGCTTCAAGTATATGAAAGGGGAGGGATTTCACTTGTTGAAGTATATTAATAAAGAGTAGGGTAATCTGTCATTTGGGTCTGTGAAAAGGGCCCAAAAGGGCTCACAGATGAATTTTATGGCTTAAGTCAAGAAAACTTTCATTTTTGTGACTGATTCCTGTTGAAAAGACAGTGCATTTACAGCAGTTAAAAGGGATGCACAGTCGCAAACAAGGTACGTGAAAGGGGTACCATTTGTCAATAGAAGGTATATAAGGGGGTACCTTTTTTGTGAAAAATGGTACATAAAAGGGTAACGGGTTGGACCTCGGGGCGGAGCCTCCCAATATAAACATTTGTTGAGTACCACGGGGTAAATATCACTTGGTACTTTTTAAATTCCTTACTTAATACATTCAATTCTGCATGCAGTGCTAGCGCTTGAACTAAAAAATTTAAGAGTGCATACCTGGCCTGCCATAAATCAAAAGTCGCTTTCCACCATTGAATATCTCTGTGTAGCTTCCTAGCTTGTTTTGTGTCATACCACTGGGTTTTCTGTGATCCTTAAGCCAAGTCAACTGTGTGTACATCTCATCAATATCAACAGCAGAGCTTAGGTCCCATGGGATGATTCTGACTTTGCTCTTTGCTTTATAAACCATTTTCAGACGTTTCTGGCACTTCTCAAGGCATACAGAATCTGTTAAAAGGTTTTAATTACATAGAAAGAAGTTCTATAAGTTAAAAATAAATAAAAAAAATACTTTTGGATTGAATAACATATGAAACAGTCAACCTACAGAATATGCACTAGCCTCCTGCACAGACGTTCTTAGGGCTTCCTTCAAGCATACCTTCCCTACGGGTTATGAAGCCTTAAGAATGTCTGCGTGGGAGACTAAACATGGGCACTGTGGAAACAGAACAACTAGTTGATAAACATCTCCTAGTTATGCTACAGTATACATAAATGAACCATAACGAATACAGTATTTTTGTATTAACTAATATTGGTAATTATACATTAAAGGTTGTTTCTAATTAGTTACTTTAACGTTGGTATGAATATTTTTTCTTAATTCTGAGTCTGTTATTAAGTGATACCTTTTTAGTAAAGAATCTTAAGATTCCACCATTGGGTCCAATTCGCAGGTAGATGCAGGTGGGTTAAGGGTTAGGGTTATAGAGTTTGAGTTACAGAACCTAAGTAACAACTGCATAACCTCTGAAAATTAAACCGCCTGAGATTCAACTAATTTTTATCTCCATCTGGAACAGGATCAAATTATTGAGCAGACTTTATTGGGACATGATACAAGATGTTACTAGTGGTTAGTGTCAATTGTAAGCTACACTGTACCAGGCCACCCACATCTTTAGCAGGCACAGTTATTGCAGTTCTGCCTGACCTCTCATCTGGCGATAACAACCTGTCTCCAAGATGGAGACAAAAAGGTTCATGAAATCCCAGCATTCAATCCTCAAAATATTAATTGAAATCCTACTGAAATCAGTGTTACCAACTTCAGTCTGTTATATAAGATTCCTGATGTTATTGAATAGAACACAAAGGTACCTGGTAACTTTTTCTTGGGCTCACTTGTAGGCTGCCTCTTCATTGACGGGTCTGTGAATTAAATTTCAAGAAAAAAAAATGAAATATTTGGTGAGGTATATTTTCTCTGCAGTTATATGTTTTATGTTCTCATTACATGAGAGTGCTAACCATCAACAACACATCACCTTTTTTAATGTGCACTAGCAGCAACTGAATTAATACCTAAGTTCCCTAACATTAAACAATAGAGTCAGGTGTGGATCCACACCGGTTTCCACCATTTGAAGAAAATCTGTCAGAGTTTCATGATAAATATAAAAAAACCTTCCAATTAAAATTTGTAATCTGGCAAATGGTTTGGACAAATTTTATTTTTCCAATTTACTGGCATTAGACACGCTATCCTGCCTTATCCAAGGAGCATGGAACTGGCCATATATCCTGTCTGAATTACTCAGAAACCCAGGAAAGGGGATTTTGGGAGTTTAAATCCAGAAAATTTCTCGGGGGAGCATGTTTCTTCCTAGGAGCTTTTGCCTTCAGCACTCATTTAGGAAATTGGTAAGTACATTATCCTAGATTTGCTCCTGCATGCTGTGATTGGTCAACTTTTAACTTCCCTGACTAATTGTACAGGCCAAACATTAAATAGAAAAGATCTTTTCCTTTTTGTAATTCTGCTGCTACAAACGTTATTGTTTTCTGAGTCAGTAACATGGTGTATGTTTTCTTTTATCTCCTTCTAGCAGTTTTTCAGGGAGGCACAAGCATTAGAAAACTTCAAAAATGATTCATTTTTTTGCAAAATTGTAAATTCCTCAGATATGGTTAGGAAGGTAACTGTCATAATTTGCTACACTAACAGTCAACATTCACTTGAAAAACTGTATAACAGTATCGTCTATTCAATGTGCATGCCAGTACATGTACTTTTAATATTAAAGTACTTAACAGCAATACTATAGCGCAAAAAGTCACTAGACATTTTGTGGCAGTCCATTTATTCAATTACCTTTTTTCACTAAAACTGCAACCATTTTAAATGTTCATAAATAAAAATAGAATTACCTCAACAGAAAATTTGTCACTATTAATAAAATTAATATCTCAGAACAGGGATCGATGTAAAGTACCTTCATAGTGAGGCCATTCTTTAAAAACAACTGGATCACTTAACATGTTGGACACAAGAGAGGCTGCCATGATGGAAGCAAATGACTTCCAGGACTCACTAGGAGCATTGCCATCATTAGAAAAATGAGATATCCCTTTAACAATCACCCATTCCATATTCACATCATAGGCTGCATTAAACAGTCCTATAAATTGAACAACAAAAACAAAACAGAACAAAAATGATAAGTGAATTTTTTCAGGTCTCAGAGGTCTCAGGTTTCCACCCAAAGGGGGGGGGGAGCTCCCTTTTTAAAACATATAGGTATGTGCCGCCCCATCGGGTAGGGTTTTTGCACTGTTTTGATTTGAAAACGGGTATACACTTTGCCCACTTTGGTAGGGAACGTCGGAGTGTATGAACGTATTTTAATTCCAGATGAGTAAGAAAGAAAGAGAAAATTAAAAACGGATTTGAAAAATTTTTTTGTTTGCACTCTAATCTAAGTGATGGTAGCATAATTTCTGCCTAAAGGCCAGGTCCGAAAACGGGTGAGGAAAGTTACATTTTTTGGTCTGAAATCTGGTCAGGATTTGAAGAACTGGGTGGCACACTCCCACAAAGAATTCCTAGGAGTGCCCCCGGGGCGGGTTTCCAGACACCAAAATAACAAGAAAGAAAAATTGCCCAGCCCAGCGGTAAAAAGGGAAAAGAAAAGGGCAAATAATACAATAAAATAGAGATAAAGTTAACAAGTTAGGAATTTATTAAAATGTTACCTTCGCCTTCCTTTGCAGCTGCATTCATGCGACGTTTTTTGGCACCGACTGGGTCATTTATGCCACCGAATATTTCGCTGTCAGAATGCACTTTCACTTCTTCTTCAGCTGTTGTTGGTGGATCCCATCCTCCAGATGAAAACAAGATAAGGTTGCCAATATTCTTTTTTACTGGGGTTGAGAATTCTTCAGTTATAAGCTTAGAGGATACCACTACATCCCCCAGCTTTGTGTCTTGGGGGTTCAAACCCCTGCAGCAGCCAACTATAAAAACAGCCTTGGGTCTCAGTGGAATCACTGCATTTTTAACAACATTTTGAGAGCCACCTGGACCACCTTTGGAACATCTCATCAGAGCAACTTTCAGCGCCTCCTCTCCACTTCCACCCATGGTACCAAAGNGCTGTGATTGGTCAACTTTTAACTTCCCTGACTAATTGTACAGGCCAAACATTAAATAGAAAAGATCTTTTCCTTTTTGTAATTCTGCTGCTACAAACGTTATTGTTTTCTGAGTCAGTAACATGGTGTATGTTTTCTTTTATCTCCTTCTAGCAGTTTTTCAGGGAGGCACAAGCATTAGAAAACTTCAAAAATGATTCATTTTTTTGCAAAATTGTAAATTCCTCAGATATGGTTAGGAAGGTAACTGTCATAATTTGCTACACTAACAGTCAACATTCACTTGAAAAACTGTATAACAGTATCGTCTATTCAATGTGCATGCCAGTACATGTACTTTTAATATTAAAGTACTTAACAGCAATACTATAGCGCAAAAAGTCACTAGACATTTTGTGGCAGTCCATTTATTCAATTACCTTTTTTCACTAAAACTGCAACCATTTTAAATGTTCATAAATAAAAATAGAATTACCTCAACAGAAAATTTGTCACTATTAATAAAATTAATATCTCAGAACAGGGATCGATGTAAAGTACCTTCATAGTGAGGCCATTCTTTAAAAACAACTGGATCACTTAACATGTTGGACACAAGAGAGGCTGCCATGATGGAAGCAAATGACTTCCAGGACTCACTAGGAGCATTGCCATCATTAGAAAAATGAGATATCCCTTTAACAATCACCCATTCCATATTCACATCATAGGCTGCATTAAACAGTCCTATAAATTGAACAACAAAAACAAAACAGAACAAAAATGATAAGTGAATTTTTTCAGGTCTCAGAGGTCTCAGGTTTCCACCCAAAGGGGGGGGGGAGCTCCCTTTTTAAAACATATAGGTATGTGCCGCCCCATCGGGTAGGGTTTTTGCACTGTTTTGATTTGAAAACGGGTATACACTTTGCCCACTTTGGTAGGGAACGTCGGAGTGTATGAACGTATTTTAATTCCAGATGAGTAAGAAAGAAAGAGAAAATTAAAAACGGATTTGAAAAATTTTTTTGTTTGCACTCTAATCTAAGTGATGGTAGCATAATTTCTGCCTAAAGGCCAGGTCCGAAAACGGGTGAGGAAAGTTACATTTTTTGGTCTGAAATCTGGTCAGGATTTGAAGAACTGGGTGGCACACTCCCACAAAGAATTCCTAGGAGTGCCCCCGGGGCGGGTTTCCAGACACCAAAATAACAAGAAAGAAAAATTGCCCAGCCCAGCGGTAAAAAGGGAAAAGAAAAGGGCAAATAATACAATAAAATAGAGATAAAGTTAACAAGTTAGGAATTTATTAAAATGTTACCTTCGCCTTCCTTTGCAGCTGCATTCATGCGACGTTTTTTGGCACCGACTGGGTCATTTATGCCACCGAATATTTCGCTGTCAGAATGCACTTTCACTTCTTCTTCAGCTGTTGTTGGTGGATCCCATCCTCCAGATGAAAACAAGATAAGGTTGCCAATATTCTTTTTTACTGGGGTTGAGAATTCTTCAGTTATAAGCTTAGAGGATACCACTACATCCCCCAGCTTTGTGTCTTGGGGGTTCAAACCCCTGCAGCAGCCAACTATAAAAACAGCCTTGGGTCTCAGTGGAATCACTGCATTTTTAACAACATTTTGAGAGCCACCTGGACCACCTTTGGAACATCTCATCAGAGCAACTTTCAGTGCCTCCTCTCCACTTCCACCCATGGTACCAAAGTACACATATCCAAGGTTATTGTGGTAGCCTTGAATGGAATTATGAAGGTATGCATAGCACGCCAAGAACTCACAATCCTCCACTGTCAACAAAAGAATGTCAACTGGAAGCTGATCTTGAACATCACTCCAAGGTTTTGACTCTTTTGGAATATTTTTCATTTTAGGTACTTCAATACTAAGAGGAGGGGGGACATGATTTCGTCCTGTCTGACAAGAAGGACTTTCTTTTCTTTTACGTTCTTGATGCTGTGCCATTGAGTCTCTAATGTGTCCCTAGAAAGTGGGTAAATTTAAAATAACAAAACACGCATGAAACAAACGTGAACATTTTTCTTAAGCTGTTCAAATATAGGAGGAAGGAACTAATAATGTTATGTGACCCATCCAAGAGTAACAAACATCCGTTTTCTCCTAAAAATATCCATCCATCATCAAGAGAAAACATTGTAAGAATTTAAAAAAAGATCAACAAAGGGGAAATTCTCTCAACTTTAGGAAATATAATATATTTATATGTGGATCAATATGTTGTAGTTAATTTTTTATCTCCGGTAATTTTTATTTTTCCTTTATGAATTTTCAACTTCAATACCATATAATACCATACCCAAAAACAAAACAAAAACAAAAATTACCTGAGATAAGAAACTAACTACAACAGATATATTCATTAAAACTTCTTGTAAGTAGACAACCATTGTAAAATTTATCTGAATTACCTGGACTTTTAAAGGTTTCTGCAGACTTTACAGGCACATGATCACAATAATGTTTTGATTGACTGACATAAAATTAGTCTGAAATAATGAAGTAAAAAAAGAGCGTGTCAACCTACATGTACAATATACCGAGCTATCCTTACTAAAAACTGTTTTAATTTTAATTTAGTTGAATAGATATTGCACTGAAGAAGGTACATTTAAGTCATGAGATTTGAATAAGACACACTTGACATCAGCCATTACAAAGAAGAGGGACATTAACACTGGTTGTATGCTGTGCTATTAGTGTTCTTATCAGGATTTCATAGACCGGGGTCCACAGGACCCATAGAAAAGCTAAAATTGGAGGTCATGAGGGAGAAAAGCGGGTCACAATTTTTACATACAGTTAACTCAATGTTTTCACAGGTGTGAATCTTAGATAATGATGGGTGTTTTCTAAAGACGGCATAACCATGCAATTAAGTTTTGGCTTATATTATAAGGAAATGTACGCATGTGTACGTATATGCATACGTTATTTTTGTAATGGGTTTTTTCCTTCTTTGCGCCCTTCATCCTTGGAGACCCAGGGGCAGATAGTGGGGGCGAGGGAAAGTCTAAACGGGCGGAAAAATAAGGCACGAAGAGAACTAAAGAACGGCGAGAAGAGCCCCTGGGGACAATGTCTTACCAGACCAGTTCCAAACGGTTGCTGCCGATCTGGCTTCTGATTGGCGCCAGAAAAACACAAGTTTTCTGGCACCAATCAGAAGCCAGAACGGCGGCGATCATTTGGAACTGGTCTGATAATTAAGACATTGTCCCCAGGGGCTCTTCTCGCCGTTCTTTACTTTTCTTCGTGCCTTATTTTTCTGCTCGTTTAGACTTTCCCTCTCCCCCACTATCTGCCCCTGGGTCTCCGAGGATGTGCGCCCTTGGGACCCATTGGGCTAATTATAGTATAGCACTTCCTGAAAAAGTGTGGCAATGCCACAATGCTGCGATCTATTAAGAACACTGTGCTACTGTTTATAAACATGTCAATCAGTTGATGGAAGCTTTATGACAGAACTTGTCAAGAAGAAATCAAGAAACTGACGTGCAGCTGGTACATGATGAGAGTTCACAGGGATGTTGAAAAGACCAGGAATAAACTGGATTGGACTGTAGAAACCTGGATCAGATTGTTCTTAGCTCAGAGATGTATCTACACCCACACATTCATAGCAGAGGTCAACAGGAAGACTAACTTACTTTCATGGGCCAGTATGAACACAGCATATTATAATCTTGGGTTATCACAAGGTGGCATCTCTAGTCTCCAATGGGAGCTGGTCTATAAAACTGATAAAATACCATGGACTTAAAGTCTTTTCACATAAACAGCAGGTGCTAAATAAATTAAAAATACTTGTGGTATTGTCATGTCCTCTGTATAGTATAGCATATGCTGTCTTCGAAAAGCACAAAAATAATCAAAATGGCCTTAATGTGAGCACTTGCGAGCACATGCATGAGCACTTCATATTTTTTGCTGCTTAAGCACAAGCTGAATCAGTGGAGCTAAAACTTGAATTGCAAGCAGTAATAAGCACTTTATAATCCTTTTTTTTTTCTAATTTTAAATGCCTGAAAGCAACAATATGATTATTTTATTATTATTATAAAAAAATTAACTTCTGCTAGAGGGTCCTATGATGGAGATGGTGGCCAGCAGCTGTTTGCACAAACCAGTAACAAATAAGCTCAAGCTTTAGCTTGATATGACATATATAGGGCCTGTTTACCCGGAGGTCTAGAGAACCCCAGGTAGGCCAGGTAACCTGCTTTTAATAGGTGGGGTAACCCGCCTGTCCACCGGTAATCTCTCATTTTAAATTGATCACGTTTACATGATGGGTGGGGTGACCTGCCACATGTTACCTCACCTATCTGTGGTCTCCCAAAAGACCTTTATGCATGTTCACACTTAACACATTACAATAAATATTGAATTGTGTTTATTCTGTATAGGTAATACATGATGCTTTATATTAGTAAAAGAGCGAATGCTCCTAGCATATATATTTAAAAATCATTTGATTTTAACAAAGTAAAGTAAACTGAAGTTACAGTAATAAGTTTTTTACAGCTGAAGCGGCCGATCACTGTCTTATTCACTATCACATGCACAAATAATAGATCTGAAAGCAAGAATATAGTTCATTAATCAGCAAAAATTATTTGCTAAACAATCTGCACATGTTAACCAAGGCCCTGAACATCTTTTGTTTTAGTTTTCTTTAGAACTTTATTGAAAACTACCGGTCGACTTATGCACCTATCAATGTAAGCCCCGTCGGGGGGGGGGGGGGGGGAGGGGGGGGAAGGGGGGGGGGGGGTTGGGGGGGGTTCGGAAGATTGGGGTGCATTTTTTTTTTTTTTTTATAATTTTTGGTTGTGGCCATTATTTTTTTCTCTTTTAATTAAAAAACCATAGTTTATTTTTTACATTGAGAATCCATATTTTTGGCCCAGCTAGAAGTTTCTGCGCGAATTTTTCCTTTA